TGACTTAGGGAACTGGGTATGTTTAGCCTGGAGGAGAGACAGTTAAGATGTGATATGATAGCCCTCTTTAAATATTTGAAGGAGGGTTTCATGGCTGAGTAGGGAATCAAACCCTGGTCTCCAGAGTCATAGTCCAACATTCAAACAGCTACAGCTCACTGGCTCTCCAAGCCCAAAAAACCCAATCTCTTAATATCCAGGAGTAGCTGTGTTGGCCATACAGCAAGTTACAATAACTTCCAAAATCCACAAAACAGTGGAGAATATCACACAGGAGGCTTAGCATCCTCCTCCTGTCATTAAATCAGCTTTAAATCGTTCTAATTGTGTGATTTGGTAATAATGGAAGTTTCTGTCATTACCAAATGGCGGCTCCATTACACTTTACTGACGGGACAAGCATGCGGGGATGGCTCTATTACACTTTAAACATGGGAGAAGGATGGGAGAAACATGCGGGGGTGTGAACCCTGGTTGTGTGATTAGGACGATTTAAAGCTGATTTAATGATGGGAGGAGGACGCAAGACTCCCATGTGATATTCTTCAGTAATACTTTTAGGGAGCCAACCCAAATGCACAAAATACATGATGCATGCTTTGGAAGCTTCACGGGCTTCTTCATCAGGTGGTGATTAAAAAATCATACAGGAGAAAAAAATGTGATTATGTTAGAGCAGTGGTTCCCAAAGTTTGGTCCTCCAGATGTTTTGGGCTTCAGTTCCCATAATTCCTGACTAGCTAAGACTTCTGGGGACTGAAGTCCAAAACATCTGGAGGACCAAACTTTGGGAACTGCTGTGTTAAAAGAGTCACAGGCCTGTTTTTTCTCCCACATGTTGCTCTGCTGTGGCTTTCATGTCTTTTGTGCATTTGGGTTGGCCCTATAAAAGTATCTGTGTTCTATGGATTTTGGATGTTACTGTACTGACTTAAGTCTACTTCCTCAGATGCATCCACCAAGTCTAGGAAAGTTCATACTGCCAACTTCTTTCTTTCAGTCAGTTTCAAAGGTCCTACAAGATCTCTCTCCATACTTAATGTCAGTACAATAACATCCAAAATCCACAGAAGACGGATACTTTTATGGGGCCAACCCAAATGCACAAAAGACATGAAAGGCACAGCAGAGCAGCATGTGGGAGAAAATACAGGCCTGTGACTCTAACACAGCAATTCCCATATGTTCTCAGATGTTTTGTACTTCTCCCTGAATAGGTTATGGACACTGCCTGAGTGGATAGATCTTGTAGTACCTTTGAGACTCACTAAAAGAAAGAAGCTAGTAGCATGAGCTTTCGTAGACTTGAACCTACTTCCTCAGATGCATCTGGATTTAAGTCTACGAAAGCTCCTGCTGCCAATTTCTTTCTTTCGGTCAGTCTCAAATGGGGTACAAGATCTCTGATTCTACTGATTATATCAGATGCATTGAGGAAGTAGAGTAGACTGTAGTCTAGGAAAGCTCCTGCTGCCAATTTCTTTCTTTTAGTGAGTCTCAAAGGTGCTGCAAGATCTCCCTCTCTCTTTCTCTATACAGACTTGATTTTCCAGATTAACATGGTTATGTCTTTGGTTTCCTACCATTCTTTTACAGTATAACTTTAATAGAGTGACTCTGCTCTCCTGGCCAATGGGCGGGTTTATATGGGTCTCCCTCTCTCTACATACTGATTCTGCAGACTAACACGGCTGTGCCTTTTGAGCAGGGGTAGGCAACCTTTCCCCTTTAAGGGCCGAGGGACTTCAGCTCCCAGAAGCCTCAGCCATGTTGGCCAATAGCTCCTGGGATTCTGGGAGCTGAAGTCCCTCGGCCCTTAAAGGGGAAAGGTTGCCTACCCCTGCTTTTGAGTTCTACCGACAGTAAAGGCCAAGGCTCCCTCCATATCAGAGTTTCTCAGGGTGGCTCTTACGGGGAAAGAGGATAAATCTAGGCCGAGGCCTGGCTCGAGTGGGAGCGAGGAGAGGCCAACCGCCGCCACGAAATGGCCCCCTTCTCCCCCGGCGCGCGCAGCCATCTCAGGCCAGACTGGCCCCGCTCCCCTGGGACACAGAGACCGCCGGCGGTCGGGCCGGGGCCTAGCTCTCTCCGCGGCTCAGATCACGGGCCCCCTCCCTCCGGCCCTCGCCCTCTCCGCCTCTTCCCGCACCTGGAACTGAAGCAGCTTCTCGGTCTGCTCCGCCGACAGCTCCCGCTCCTCCGGAGCCGCCATTTTGCTGCCGCCTCTGACCCGCGGCTGCGTCACGCCGCGGAAGTGACGTGACAATTCGAAACTTCCGCTCGCTCGCTCTCCACGCGCGCGTGCCGAAGGGAGGGGCGGGGAGGCGGCGGCGGCAAGAGAGAGAGAGAGAGAGAGAGAGAAAGCGAGGGCCGGGAGTTTCTGCGCGGACTACAATTCCCAGGAGCCTCTCTTCCTCCGAGCCAAAATGGCTGAAAGGAGCTTTGCCGTATTTAAAGGAGCCGTGCAAGCAGGGAGGGTGAGAAGTCAGTGAGAAGTAGTGGTTAAAGTGTTGGACTAGGACTCTGGAGACCAGGGTTCGAATCCCCGCTGTGCCGAGGCACACTCTCTCAGCCTCAGGATGGCAATGGCACAAACCCCCCCATTTGGATAAATCTTAGCAAAATAATAATAATCCCAAGAGACATTCTCTCAGCCTCATAGGATGGCAATGGCACAAACCCCCTTTGGATAAATCTTGCCAAAAAAATAATAATAATAATCCCAAGAGATACTCTCTCAGCCTCAGAGGAAGGCTGACATTAAAATAAATAAACCAACCTTGTTATGAATAAACTCTCTTATACTGTATCACGGGGTAGGCAACCTTTCCGCTTGAAGGGCCGAGGGACTTCAGCTCCCAGAAGCCTCAGCCATGTTGGCCAATAGTCCCATGTTGGCCAATAGCTCCTGGGATTCTGGGAGCTGAAGTCCCTCGGCCCTTAAAGGGGAAAGGTTGCCTACCCCTGTTCTAAGCGTTCAAGAGGTTCTGCCCAAATATTAAAATAAATAAATATTAAAATAAATAAACCAATCCTGTTATGAATAAACTCTCTTATACTGTATCATGACTGGTAAGATTAACAGTTATTACAAAGTAGGCCACCACTAGAGGCCAGTAAACACGAATTGATTTTCAACAGTACTATAACTTTGTTGTCGTCGTGTATATCTTCAAGTTGTTTCTGACATATGGTGAGCCTAAGGTGACCCTATCACAGGTTTTCTTGGCAACTTTTGTTCAGAGGGAGTTTGCCATTACCTTCTTCTAGGGCTGAGAGAGAGTGACTTGCCCCAAAGTCACCCAGTGGGTTTCCATGGCTGAATGAGGATTTGAACCCTGGTCTTCAGAGTCAAAGTCCAACGCACAAATCAATACACCACGCTGGCTACCTGCCATTCAAATCTACTCCAAAATGCATCTTTAAGGGCCACTATATGGGACACACAGTGCTTCAGTTTACAAGTGCAAGTAAATGCTGGCCACAAGAGCAGAAGGTTGTAGTTCATGATTGCCAAGAGACGGGCAAGTTTGTTGGTAGAAATAATGCCAGAAATAATGCAGCTTGAGACCACTTTAACTGCCCTGGCCCAATGCTAGGGAATCATGGGAATTGTAGTTTTTGTCTGAGACACTGAGCTTTCTCTGTCAAGGAGCTCTGGTATCACAATAACTACAGTTCCCATGAGTCCCTAGCACTGAGCCAGGACAGTTAAAAGTGGTCTCAAGCTGCATTATTTCTGGCAGTCTGTAAAGGCCCTATTATTTTTGTATCTCACCACATAATTTGTGGAAACTGATGCACGAGTAAATGGATCTTATGGATCTTATGTCATCACTTCCACTGAAGAATAATGAACCAACCTCTTTCAGGAGCACATTCCAATTTCTAATTTTTCTGAAAGGGAACACAGTAGATTAAAATATGAAACCCACATTTTGGCATTATCATTATTTGGACCAAGCAAAAGGTCTCTAAAGAGTATGTGGGTTTTTGAGTTCTCCAGAATTTCCCATCAGAATAGTTGGAACAAAAAAACACAGAACGAGGTGGGAAAGAAAGGAAACAAAGAAGTTTCAAAATTAAGCCAGATGGTATGACCAGGGGTCTGGGTTGGTTTTTTTTAACATCCTTTATTGAAAAAATGTAATCATCCAGTCTAGTTAATACAGTCTTCTTCCACTATTATAAAGTAAGACAACTCTACTTGACAAAAACATCTGTCTGCTGTGTAAAATTATTTCTGGTGGCCTCCAAATCTGTCAGCTTATGTAGTCAAGTGATATCCAGCCACTGAAATAGACACTCTCTAAAGCAGGGGTAAGCAACCTTTCCCTTTTAAGGGCTGAGGGACTTCAGCTCCCAGAATCCCAGGAGCTATTGGCCAACATGGGACTATTGGCCAACATGGCTGAGGCTTCTGGGAGCTGAAGTCCCTCGGCCCTTAAAGGGGAAAGGTTGCCTACCCCTGCTCTAAAGGAAAGACTAGCATAGGTGAGAGGCTTCTCAGTTGCTGCTCCCTTTGCACATGGTCATGGCTAATATGGGAGAGAGGCTTCTCAATTGCTGTTCAACCAGCTGCTCAGTAGCTGCTCCCAAGGTGACCATATGCAAAAGGAGACACTTCTCCCCAACAAGAAAGGACTCTCAATCCTTGTATCCAGGAATGTGAAAGTGTTGGCCTTCCAAACAGCCTGATAATATGGGTGAGATTTCAGATGCATCAGGGTTGGGAAGCCTTTGTCCTGCCAGATGTTTTAGACTGTAGTTCCCACAATCACTTATCCTTTGGCCATGCTGGGTGAAACCAGTGGAAATGATAAGACATGGAAGGCCAAGATTCCCCAGTGTCAGGGCTGGAGCCAGCTTCCCACTTTTCTCCCTGGTGAGAAAGGACTCTCAATCTGATACCTCTCCCCCTCCTTCCCTAAAAACATGCCTTCCCCAAACAGCTTCCCCAAACATTATTTCTTCTGCTACTTCTTCTCTTGGCCTGCCCAACAAAAGAAAGCAGGAGGAACAGCACAGCTCCAGCTTGCCAACCATGTCCTAGGAAAACTCACTAAGCTCAAGCAGGGTCTCAATTATAAAAGTTCATTTTTGCCACTTCTAACTCCGCATCCTCACCATTGTCCTAAAGGCCACTAGATTTCCTTGTCTTTGTTGCACACCAATACTGAAGGTCCCCATATTGCCCCTCTTTTCTCTCTCTGCACCCCTGGATCTTTCTTTCCACTGCCTCCAGGGGGCATACCACCCACTTTTGGAATCACTGCCTTAGCCTGAAGGTAATTTTGTACAATATTTTTAACAATTTAATGCATGGTACAAAGCTTATGCACACTGAACCATCAGAAAGCAAAGGTGTCACTATCATAGCCACCCATGAAAAACAATTTTTTTAAAAAATATTTTGGATTTTGGAATTCCAGATAAGGGAGAATCAGCCTGTTCTGAAAACAGAAAATGCTGCCTGTAGTCCAGATCTGACTCTTGCCTTAATAAAATAGACACTAATCTTCACTCCTCATGAGGGAATGAGGATGGTGCTTGACCATGAATTCTCACCTATGAGTAAATGTTAAATTTATATTGGATTGAAAACATCTTCACATTTCCAAAGCACAGAGGAAGGCAGAGCCAGTTTTCACCAACTGCCCCCTTTCATCTGCTCTTCTTCTCAATGCAATAATGTGAGTAACTATAGAGATGAGTACCTGGTATTTCACTCCCTCTTTCATCAGCAGTGAAGTCTTTGAAGGTCAAACAAATGGCAGTGTTAGTATGTTGCAACATAAAAAGGAAAAAAAGTAGGATGGAGTGGAGGAGAATAATTTTGCATTACTTTTAAGATTAATTGATCTATTTCAGCAGTTTCCTTTGGAGGAGAAAACACCAAGAATTCTAAGTATAGTATTCCCTTGCTCAATTTAATTATGGTATTTCGAATATACAAATTGAAATGGAAGCATAGTGAGCCAGGCATCATTATGGGTAATTGATATGCAGGCAGAATAATATACAGGCCCAGATCTGAATTGTTAACTTAGGGGGGTTGCAGACTGCCAGAAATAGTGCAAATTGAGTCCACTTTAAGGGTTAGGGTTAGTGCTAGGGAATCATGGGAATTGTTTTTTTTCCCCTGAGACATTGAGCCTTCTCTCTCAGAGAGCTCTGGTGCCACAATAAAATACAGTTCCCATGATTCCCTAACTCTAACCCTAAAAGTGGACTCAATTTGCACTATTTCTGGCAGTCTGCAACCCCCCTTACATTAGATGCATTGTCTCAGGGGAATGTACATAAATATTGATTTAACAAGTTACTATTGATTCTGTGTGTTTATTTGGGATCAACAATAGGATTTAGGCTCCACTATCCTGCAAAGCCCAGAGTACAAGGTGCTTCAGACCTTGGTTTTGTTCAGCATCTCACTGAGGCAGAACTTCTTACAAGGCTATACAAAGAGTCTAATGGATTAGAGCAAAGGTCTAGCATGCTCTTTCACACAGTGGCAGCCAAATGCCATTTGGAAACCTACAACTAGGATAAGAGAGCCAATAGTGTTCCTCCCAAAAAAGCAGTTGATATTGAGTGATATGGTGGATAATCCTGAAAGTACCATATGGTAGTAGCCTTCAGTAGGCTATTGAATTTGTCTACTTCTGCTTTAAAGACTTTCCCCTTAATGGCTGTGATCATTTCTTGTGACAGTGAATTCCATACAGCCAGCACTCCATATTCATGAATTCCACAGATATGGACCCTTCAGAATAGGATCCTTCAGTCAGAGCAGGTCTGGGTGTCAAAACAGCAGGATTTCAAGTTCAGAAAAACAGACTTTAGTAGTTAAAACTCAGTAAACCTTTATTAAGAAACTTTATAGATCCAATCCAGTGACTCATTGTCAGAACCGACTAACAAACATTAAATGTGCCTAATTAAACTACATACAATTTCAAATCTTAGACATGCTTGATTCTTATTAATTATAAGTAATAAACACATTTCTTTTTCCTTTCCCACACCGCATTTTTCTTTTGGTGTTAGAGCCAGATGTTTCCCATAAACTACCTTGAACAAGTTCATCTCCTTTCCTGTAATCTCATGACATGTGACTAAACTCACCCTTCTAAACTGCACTACTACTACCATATATTCCGTCACAACATAAGATATTATGGCAGAACAAAACATATGCAATTCCTGACACTGGGGAATCTTGGCCTTCCATGTCTATCATTTTTATTGGTTCACCCAGCATGGCCAAAGGATAAGTGATTGTGGGAACTGTAGTCTAAAACATCTGGCAAGACAAAGGCTTCCCAACCTTGATGTGTCTGAAAGCTCACCCATATTGTCATCAGCCTGTTTGGAAGGCCAACACTTTCACATTCCTGGATACAAATAAGGACCAAAACACCCAAAAGTAAACCAAATATAGCTATATTAGCACAGATGTTATCTGAATTGGAATGAGACTCTGACATCTCATTCTTGAAGCTGTATATTCTTACGTGTCTGTTTCAGCCCAACACATTGTCATGGGATGAAAG